GCAGGCGGGGAGCAGCACTCGTTGAGAAGTCAAACTGTTAGAAAACAATTGGACTCCATGGAATGGACCAAGGGGGGGACCAAGACACTAATGACACAGTGTGCTGTAGTGATTATGGTGCTTGGAGTATTCCTTTAAATCAGGGGACTCAAATTCTGGCCAACTAGATGTTGATGGACTATAACTCCCAGAATTCTTTGAAAGCAAAGATTACCAAAGCATCATGGGAGCTATAGTTTGAAAACATCTGGTGAGCAGGAATTTGAGATGCCGGTTTAAAATGGCATTTTCATATCGAAGAGTGATTCTTCTGTAGGAGAAGGTGGAGGCCAGGAAAAGTATTCCAGCAGAAATGGTAAAGACTAAGAAGTAAATAGAGTAAAAATCATACTCCCTTATTTCTGACCAATGGCGAACGAGGGATTAGAAACTAACGTGCATGGCGGTGACAGACTACGGGCACTTGCTCTAGTCTAGCCCAATTGCCCCGGGTTAGGGTATAGCACATGCTATTTGAATTGGCTTCTGGGAACGAGACACCATCGTATGCTACTTGTACGATTTGTTTATAGGCATTTTATGATCAGTGTCGAAGAACCCACTGTTTTGTTAGTTTCATTTTCCTTGACGATTACAGCTCAGCCCTGCGTGACTGACTGCGCTGATATTGTACATTTTCAAAAAATATTGTTACAGTTGTGACCTGCATTCACTTGGTATACGCCACAGATTTTTCTCTGGTAACAAATGAAACTTTTATTCACAAAAAAAAAAAAAAATGAGAAAATCATTGAATAAACATAGTACTGTGCAGGAAAAAAAAAAGAACTAAACTGGTATTAAATTGAGAAAAATACAAAGTGAAATGTGCATTCTAAATATAACAACTGGTCCTTAACTACTGTCATATCCTATTCATCAATAAACGTGTAAGTCAGCGCCCGAGCAGGAAACTGGACAGCAAAGCAGAAAGTAACCGCGTATTCTCACAGAATAAAGGCAAGGGCCGCTAATATCATGGAAATAGTTAGAAAGGGATTTTTGGATGAATAAAAGAATACTGGGAGATGCTTTTTTAAATGTTACTGCAGCTCTCAAAGCATTTTTTGAAAGGTTCATGGTTTTGTGACCTTCACATTATTGTGTCTTTTTGGCACTGTGTATGTTTTATTTGCCTATTAGTGAGTGTTTCCAATGTCTAATGCTGCGTAAACACCAGACACATAATCCACGGTGACAGAAACTGCGGTAAAGCTTGGATTTCCGTAATACTCCATACCTGGTGCATCTCAAGGAGTAACTGCATGATAGCATTGTCCCCAAGAGAGTAATAATGAGCAGCGGCGAGAGTTCAAACACACTTCAGAGCGCTCAAAGATTTACAGAATTTGCAACTTTACGAAAAAATACAGCACACACAGAGTCCAGGCACCATTCCCGCTTCAAATAACTGGTCGTGGTGCTTGAAGTAACCCTTTAATTAATAACAATTGTGACAAGTAATAGTCAAGGGAATATCTTGTCTACCTGTGGAGTTTTTTTTTTTCAGAAGTTTCGGACAAAGTTGTCGCCACCACAAAACAAGTAGATACAGTACGGCAAACAAACGACAAAACAACAATAAACTACAAGATGAAGGCATGTAAAAAAATCAATTAAATGTTTTTTTTGTACTCTTCCAGTACAAAATGTAAAATGTACCATGACATAACACCTCTATAAAACACATCCTGGAGACATTCACAGCAAAACATGAACATGAATAAACACCAGAGACAAATACAAATAGTGTGATCTTATCAAGTGACAATGTCTCAATATTATCGTATTCTTCTCCCACAGGTTTTTTTTATACTTTTATTAAAATCCTTTACTTGTGACATGGTACTATTAACCCTATTAATGCTGGCACATAACACTATGGAGTGTTATCTTCAATTACTATTATTTAGATAGCACCAACATATTCAGCAGCTCAGGTAAACCAAGACAAGCAAATAATTCTAACAAAGTCCATTTGACACAAATTTAGTATATTGATGGGAACCGCACAGAGAACTGAATACAGGAGATATTGAAGGTGGTCACCTGTACAATATTTCATATTCTATATGTTCCTGTTCAAATACATATTAAGGTGTGGCTGTCTAATGGGTTAAACAGAACAGATGGCGTTTGCTATTCTGTACCATGAGGTCTATGGAATTTGCTGTATAAGAGATTTGGGGTGTCTTTATTTGGGGAATTTCCTTATATGGCCAGAGTCTAAACTAAACATTATGACATAATTTGGGCTATGAAGGGCAGAGGACAAAGGACCACGCGCTCTTCCTTCTACGATATGTTTTACTCTCCTCTTTGATGGCCTGAGTTGCTGATACAAAGACGACTGTCTGTAACGTCGTTAAAGGGACACTATAGTCACCTGAACAACTTTAGCTTAATGAAGCAGTTTTGGTGTATAGAACATGCCCCTGCAGCCTCACTGCTCAATCCTCTGCCATTTAGGAGTTAAATCCCTTTGTTAATGAACCCTAGTCACACCTCCCTGCATGTGACTTGCACAGCCTTCCATAAACACTTCCTGTAAAGAGAGCCCTATTTAGCCTTTCTTTATTGCAAGTTCTGTTTAATTAAGATTTTCTTATCCCCCGCTATGTTAATAGCTTGCTAGACCCTGCAAGAGCCTCCTGTATGTGATTAAAGTTCAATTTAGAGATTGAGATACAATTATTTAAGGTAAATTATATCTGTTTGCAAGTGAAACCAGTTTTTTTTTTTCATGCAGGCTCTGTCAATCATAGCCAGGGGAGGTGTGGCTAGGGCTGCATAAACAGAAACAAAGTGATTTAACTCCTAAATGACAGTGAATTGAGCAGTGAAATTGCAGGGGAGGGGGGCGTGGCTTGACCGGGAACCAAGATGGACGCGAGTCACTAGCGCTCCTCACCGACCCCACTACCGACAGCTAACAAACGCCACGAAAACGTGAATTTACCCTCTGTACTTGTACCCACCATTGAGGATGGACAGGAGGACGCCCAGGAAGCAGCCCAAAAAAACTGCCGATGCGGCAGCTACAGTGCGTGACCTATTTGCGGCCTCGCGGCATGGCCGCCATGAGGCCCAAGATGGCGCCGAAAACGACCTGCGGGTCCCCCGCCACCCCTACAGACGCTGGCACACCCCAGATGCAACAGAGATGGCGGCAATGAAAACTTTTCTGGCCCGGGAGATAGAACGCAGCTCCAAAGCGGTAATGGCAGAGATTCACTCGCTGGGAGCGCGGACAACAGAGCTGGAGCAGCGGGTGGAGGCTACAGTAGAGGCACATAACGCAGCAACAAACCATATTAACACGCTTACCGCGCGTGTAGAAGCAACAGAAGCAGACCTGGCAAATCGCACACGCCGCAACAATATACGGGTAAGAGGCCTACCTGAACAGCCTGATGAGGGCCCGCTCGCAGCAACAATACTTGCCCTCCTCAAGCCTCTCCTCCCAGACGTCCCAGAAGACCAATGGCACTTAGACAGGGCACATAGAGCCCTCCGTGCCCGACGGGAAGACACCGCAAGGCCCAGAGACGTCATAGTGCGCTTCTTACACTACCGGACAAAAGAGGCAGTACTCAGGAGGGCCCGGGACACCCCGATCACCTACAAGAACACAGCGCTCACCTTATTCCAGGACCTGGCCCCCATCACGCTCCACCGCAGGAAAGAGTGGCGTCCAGTCACGGAGCTGCTCCGGAACAACTCAGTGCGATATGCATGGGGCCACCCCTTCAAACTGATGGTCTTCAAGCAGGGTAGGCCTCATGTTCTCCTGCCAGGAGCAAATCCTATACCGTTTCTACGTGACCTGGGGATAGCGCCCCCCAACGACCTCAGATTGCCTACATCCGCACTCCCAGCACTCCGCACCCTACCGAGAGACTGGCATATGGCCGCGGGCCAATAAGGCACAAACGAACAGCAATGCAAAAACAAACCACCCAAAAAAAAAAACCACTCACCCTAGCTGCCACCCGCAACGTCTTACTTACCCGTTCTCCTTCAAGACAATTTCACCAGTGACTCTCAGAACTCAGAACGCAACTTGCAAGACGCCACCGGAGAACATTTCGCAACCCATCAAGGAGCAGCGCTGAGACCAACAACTGCCATGAGACCACCCGCCAACCACATCAGCACCAGGACTGGGGACAAGCATTTCCAGCTGCAACAACAAGGCCGCTACCCCGACCTGCGAAGGACACAAGTGGACTGATGGCCAGCCTAGCATCTGCCACGGCGGCCCCCAACATCTCTCAACGGAACTGTAATATATTTCTGGACTCATGTATATAGGTTTTGGGGCACAGACAGCACACGCAAGCTCCTCTCACACACACTTAGAGAAATGGAACGCAATAGGATTGACAGACAGAAATTCATCCCTATTACAGAAACAAAAAAAAAACAAAAAAAAAGGAAACACCACCCACATAACTTACTAGCACGACGAAGATCTATACACGAGACACGCTCTCCAGCACAACCAGGGGTTACACTGGAGACACAGTAGGCCAGACATACAGCTGGAAAGAAAAGCCACACACCGTATACGGACAGCCTGATGTCTCACCAGAGTACCTGATGTTAATGTTTGATTGTATGCAAATGTTTAATTGTAATGCAAACTGTATGCTAATGGCCCAAACTCACGCCTACTCATGTAGCCCCCATCCCTTAGCCCCCCTTTTAATTCACTTGCTTATTACCAGAACATACGTTGAGGGAAGGGACGACAGTCCGAACAGAGATGCTTGGGAGGGGGATCAGAGCAGGCCAGACACAGCAAGGCTCCATATATAGACAGCCCCACCTCTGCAATACCATTGCGGGCGCCACGTTGCGCTACCATCGACTGTGAGGTAAATAGACTACTATTCCCACCCTCCGGTGCTCCCATCATACACCCCAGCCAATAGACTACATGTACATATGGAACCCAGGCCGGGAACGCCTTAGGGATCCTACTGGACCCTGCGCAGGCCATATACAACTCTGAGAGCCCAACGAGACGGGACCTTTTCCTCCCATCCTCCCTCTCCAACTTATCACCTCGAACGCGGAATCACTACCGACCTTCTCCAAGAGGTCCTACCCCTCCCCCTCAGTTAACATCCCCATCCCCGGTACACGGGAGATTCACACCCACAATATGCTCCACAAAACAGAGACGCTTGGCATATCATACCAACAGCACTCCTTATGGTATAGGGGTCACCCTCGGTGGCTTGGTTCATGACCCAGACCCCTCAGGCGACAAGAGCCCTGAAGGAGGCAAGGACCCAAGTACCCCCCCATAGTCTGGCAAGGCATAAGACCAGACGGGTTCACACGTACCCCCCTCAGATTTCATACCCCCCTCCCCCATCTTTCCCCCGCACACCATTCTACACATCTCCAAACTGCAGATCAACCCACTCCTTACCATCACCTTGGTCACTAATTGCTACGACAATACTCTCCCACGGGAACCCCACTCCTGCTGAGGGGAGGGGGAGCAGAGATGGGAGTAGATCGCCCCCCACGCCATGCCCCACACGGCTAGACAACACAAGAATCACCTTCACCCTACCATCATGGCACTAAAGATATCCTCACTCAATGTTAAGGGCCTCAATTCACCACGCAAGAGACGCACACTTTTTAGGGAGCTAAAAAGACTAAATCCGGACATCGCGTACCTACAGGAGACGCACTTACCTAGATCCGCCCAGGTCTCCCTCCGCGACCATTCCTACCGTGTGGCAGCAGAAGCCCGTGCCTTCCAAAAACGAAACGGGGTAACTATCCTCGTTCATAAACGATGCCCTATACGCCTCACCCACATAGACAACGACACAGAGGGCAGATACCTCATAGCGACGGGCCAAATCTACACACAAACCATACATCTAATCAACATTTACGCTCCCAACACCCCATCCCTACAATTCTGGAACCAATTGGCAGATAAAGTCCTGTCACTACCCAATGGAGTGGTGATACTAGGGGGCGACCTCAACGCCACCCCCTGCCCAGCTGCAGACAGAAGCTCCCGCCCGGGACTAGCCAGATCCCACGGCAAAGGAGGACAAGACAAACAACTCAACGACTTCATACGTAAAACAGGTCTCATAGACGCGTGGAGGGCGCAACACCCCAGCCATAAAGATTACACCTACTACTCTGCCCCCCACGACACTTACTCTCGTATCGACATCTTTCTGACCAACCAAATAGGCTTCACTAAAACCCAAAAAACTGAAATAGGCACTATAGCCTGGTCAGACCACGCAGACATAGCCATCTATCTGGAAGGCCTACATAGTCCAACCCCGTGGACATGGAAGCTCAATACCTCCCTCCTCAATGACCCACTAGTTGTAACTGAAATACAAACACAACTACAGACATATTTCACAGAGAATCTAATGCCAGATGTCCCGATGACTGTAATTTGGGCAGCGCACAAAGCCGTCATTCGAGGACACCTCATCAAAATAGCGACACATAAGAAGAAATTGAAAACCCCAAAACTGACCCAACTTCTAGATTCCCTTCGTAAAGCGGAACAGAGCCACAAAACAGACCCAAATCCGCAAACATTACAACACCTCCACGACACGCGCCTGGCTATCAGGCAGCTACTGATAAACGACACAGCGCGAGCACTAACGTGGACTAAACTGACATACTACGACAAATCGAATAAAATGGACACACTACTCGCCCGTACACTACGCCCTAGAACGCAACGCCCTCACATTACATCCATACGAGCCCCCGACGGCACCATGAAAACCACACCAACAGAGATAGCGCAGACTTTTACCTCCTATTACGAAGCCCTATACAACCACACCCCCCAAGGCCATATGCTCACTCAGACAGCCTGCCAGAGGACATCGGAATTCTTAGCGCGCCTCAACCTACCCAAACTCCATACCGCAGCCATAGAAGAATTATTGGCCCCAATCACCACAGACGAAATCAATATGGCCATATCCTCCTTGAAGAGCAACAAAGCCCCGGGCCCTGACGGCTACGAGGGGAGCTACTACAAAACCTTTCGCGAGGTACTACTCCCACACATGGAGACCTTATTCCGCGAACTACTCGAGGGAACCCCTCCTACCAAGGACATGACACAAGCACATATCATACTCTTACCCAAACCAGACAAGGACCACACCCTACCAGAAGCATACAGACCCATCTCACTAATAAACCATGATAGTAAAATCTTTGCTAAAATACTGGCGACAAGACTAAACCCGCATCTCACGCGACTCATCCACGCAGACCAGGTCGGGTTTATCCCCGGCAGACAGTTATTTGAAAATACCAGACGGAACATAGACGTAATATGGACACTCACTACAACCAACACACCAGCGATTGCCCTGTCCCTAGACGCTGAAAAAGCGTTCGACAGGGTGAACTGGCCGTACATGTTCACACTACTAAACCACTTAAACATACCCCCCACCTTCATCACGGCAATACGGGCGCTATACACAGACGTGACAGCCCAAATACAGCTGACCGGATCAAACAGCCCACGATTTAACATCTATAACGGTACTAGACAGGGCTGCCCCCTATCCCCGTTACTTTTTGCACTAACACTCGAACCCCTTCTACAGGCGAACAGAGAACACCCCGAAATTACGGGGGCAAGGATAACAGACCAAGAGTTCCTGGTCTCCGCATACGCGGATGACGTTCTCATCACATTAACTAACCCCATCCGCTCCATGCGCGCACTGATGCCCCTCTTGCGAAACTATAGTGCAATATCAGGCGACAAAGTTAACATGGAGAAATCCAGCGCACTCCCAATACTACTCGCACAGAATGAGACCACCCAAATCACGTCAGACTATCACATACGCATGGCACCGACCTACCTCTCCTACCTCGGCATAAAACTACCGGCAGATCTCACGAAGCTACACCAACTTAACTACTCCCCACTCAGGGCCGCCATCAGAAATTTTGGGGCCCCTGACAAAGCACCAGGTTTGGGCCCCCCCCCCTCCCTCCCTCCCGGGCCCGCACACGCCCTACCTGGTCCGCTGACAATGATGCAGGACGGAATGTGGTGTGTATAGTGGAAGTGAATTAGAATATGTGTAATGGATGTAGTGTTTGTGTGTATTAGATACTGTTTGTACAGTGAATGCAGAGTGTGTGTTTGTGTAGCGGATGCAGTGTGTATAGTGAACGCAGAGTGTGTTTGAGTAGTGGATATAGTGTGTACAGTGATGTAGTGTGTGTTTGTGTAGTGGATGTAGTGTTTGTATGTACTAGATGAAATGTGTTTAGTGGATGTAGTGCGTGTATTAGACGCAGTGTCTGTGTATAGTGAATGCAGAGTGTTTCAATGTGTGGTGGATGTAGTGTGTGTACTGTGAATACAGGATGTTAGTGTAGTGAATGCGTGATTGTGTGTCAGTATAGTGAATCCATAGTGTATGCATAGTTTAGTGAATGCAGAGTGTGTGTTAGTGTGTAGTGAATGCAGAGTGTGTCAGTGTAATGAATGCAGTGTGTGTGTTAGTGCAGTGAATGCAGTGTGTGTGTTAATGTGCAGTGAATGCAGAGTGTGTGTTAATGTGCAGTGAATGCAGAATGTGTTAATGTGTAGTGAATGCAGAATGTGTTAATGTGTAGTGAATGCAGAGTGTGTTAATGTGTAGTGAATGCAGAGTGTGTTGTGTGTTAGTGTATGCAGTGTGTGTGTGTTGTGTGTTGGTGTAGTGCAGTGTGTGTGTGTTGTGTGTTAGTGTATGCAGTGTGTGTGTGTGTGTGTGTGTAGGTGTGCAGTGTGTGTTAGTGTATGCAGTGTGTGTGTGTGTGTGTGTGTTGGTGTATGCAGTGTGTGTGTTGTGTTGTGTGTAGTGTATGCAGTGTGTGTGTGTGTTAGTGTATGCAGTGTGTGTGTGTGTGTGTTAGTGTATGCAGTGTGTGTTGTGTTAGTGTATGCAGTGTGTGTGTGTGTGTGTAAATGTGTGATCTGTTTTAACATAATTTTTAATTAATTTAATTAAATGTTTCTCCCCCCTCCCTGCTTACCTGTATCCAGGGAGGGGGGAGATTCCATCAGTGGTGGTCCGGTGGGGGCCCCCCCGGCTCCCTGTTACCGCAGAGGGGGCCCAGGCAGCACAGGAGCAGCTTCTCCTCCTCCTCTCTCTTCTAATAACTCTCGCGAGACCCGCGGAGCGTTGCCATGGTAACCGGGTCTCGCGAGAGTTATGAGAAGAGAGAGAGGAGAAGCTGTGTGCTGCCTGGGCCCCCCCTCTGCGGTAACAGGGAGCCGGGGGCCCGCGGCTGCACACATAGATAGCGAGATTCACTATCTATGTGTGCAGAGAAACAAAGTGGGGCCCAGGACTGCCAGAGCAGTCCGGGCCCCCCAGGGCCGCCGGGCCCGTGACAACTGTCACGGTTGTCACCCCCTGATGGCGGCCCTGTCCCCACTAATCACTAAACTCATAACGGACATGGAGACCTGGGCGGATAAACCCATATCCTGGATTGGCAGGATACACTCAGTAAAGATGAACATTCTACCCCGTATTCTCTTCCTATTCCAGGCCTTACCCACCCCCATAACGAAACAAGACTTAAAGCCTTTACAGCAGGCCATTGACCGCTTTATCTGGCACAACAAAAGGCACAGAGTGGCCCGTAACATTCTATATCGCCCCAAGCCCAGAGGGGGATTAGGCCTACCACACATACATTTCTACTACATTGCAGCCCACTTAACACAAATAGCGATGTGGCACACCCCTCCGGAAACCAGGAGATGGGTGGACTTAGAATCCCTGATTATGAAATCGGACCTTCCTCAGTTTTACATATGGACCCCGAAAGAGCACAGAGCACTCTTAAGGACTACCTGCCCAGCTATTACAAATTCGATTCACATCTGGGACAAATATGCCACAAAATACGAACTAACAACATCGTCCTCCCCCCTCACCCCCATATACAGAAATAGGGCATTTATTCCAGGCATGAGACCCAGAGATTTCAAAGGCCTGGAAAATGCAGACCTACAAAGAATTCATCAACTCTACACAGGTCACGACATAATCACCTTCGCTGAATTACAAACCAGAACAACCCTAACCCCCGCAGATTTCTTTAGGTACCTCCAGCTAAGACACTATGCTACCCAAGAATCTGTTAAAAGAGCTGCACTAGCTAAACCAACATTCTTTGAAAACATATGCCTGGCCGAACGCTACCAAAAGGGATTGATCTCCCTCTTGTACTCCCATCTCTGCTCCACTACACGGGATTGGGGCACCCTCCACTACACAGACAAGTGGGAAATCGACCTTGGGGAAACATTAGAGGGGATAGACTGGCAGGACATATGGCAGGCCACTGCTAAAACCTCTATTTGCGTCACGATGCAAGAGCAGGCCTACAAAACGATGTTCAGGTGGTAAACCACCCCTGTTCAGCTGTACCACATGAAAAAAACACCCACAGACCTCTGTTGGCGCAATTGCGGGGAGAGAGGGACGTATACCCATATGTGGTGGCACTGCCCTAAGATTAAAATTTACTGGACGGCCATTCAAACCTTCATGAAATATTTGATAGGCCAGTGACACTGAACCCATGGACGTTCCTACTGGCCAGACCTCAGGAGAATTGGTCTAAACCAAACCAGCATCTGTTTAACAAAATAACCTTAGCGGCCAGGAGAGCGGTAGCCCAGATCTGGCTACAACAGGACACCCCCTCAGTAGCAATGGTGATCAATAAAATCAAAGAATGCCACTTAATGGACAAACTCACGGCCCAAATTAGGGGCACAACCAAAGCTTTTACTAAGACGTGGGAACCGTGGGAGACCTATAATGACCAGTAAGACCAATAAAGACCATGTAGCAGAAAGGAGTCGCAACCGCGAACGATAGACTGCAGTAACCTCCCCCCCCCTTGCCCCTCTCCACTCTACCTCAACTTCTCTCCCCCCACCCGGACCACGACCGTTTGGACCGAGATGACCGGTATCCCGGCCCACAGTTCAGTTATTATCTGTTTTTGTTTTTCTGCACATACTGTTCTTGTTGAAACAATAACACCAACAACAACAACGGATGAAAGTAGAGATGTTAAAACTCTTCATATGTACCTGGCATGTTTATGGACTATTGAAACGCTCTTGCACGAGCCAAACCCTTTGCATTGTCTACTCCATACCGTTGCAAAAATAAAGAATAAAAAAAAAAAAAAGAAATTGCAGGGGAATGATCTATACACTAAAACTGCTTTATTTAGCTAAAGTAGGTTTAGGTGACTATAGTGTTCCTTTAAGAAATACCATTTGTTAAGTATAATATTGTTTGCTGTTGAAGTAGAATAAATGCATATTTTTTTATAAAGAACGTCAGATTGCGTATTAGTACTTTTCATTAATATAGACATATATTAATGTGGCGAGCATTTTTTGTCCCAAGAAGAAATATATATATATATATATATATATATATATATATATAAAAGACTTATTCAACTAAATAAACACACAGACAGTTATTACATCACCTGTCTCCTGCAGTACTCAAAGGAGACACATGAACGCACGCAAGGCTGAATGTCAATCATTCTGGCCAGTCCACAGTGCAGATAACACCATTTGAGCGTGCAATGTAGAGCCCTAGCATTAACATGTCTAATTATTATGCTATTTTATGGGGGGAAAGCTCCCTTGTGTCAGACAGAGGGACAGGACCCTAAAATTGGGAAAGCTGAGGCTTGCGTTATGGAAAGTTCTTGGTGTGTAATGGAGTCTTGCTATGGGTGCGATTTAATGGGATTTTGTGTTTATTTGTAAATAGTGGGATTGTTACTTTAGTTTAGGTTCCATTTACGTGTGTGTTGCGGAGTGTTCTGTGCGTATTTGTAAGTAGCGAGTTTG